TTTTTCTTCACAACCAAACGCAATGTAAATATCGAGAGTTAGGAGGGCAAATCGTGAAAGTGATAGAGGAGAAAATTAGAGGATAATGGGGCCTGGGCACACCGGCAGGTTGCATTGGAAATGATTAAACGAAAAACAAAATCTCATATATATATGAGTACGCAACTAGGCAACTACTAGGTAGCTATAGGTCATGCATGCATGCATGCAACATATATATTAGTATTAATATTAATATTAATATTATATAGTTTAGTGTAATTAATATAAAATAAATATAGATTGATATATGGTGAAGATTTGATGATCCTTATCTGCAAGCCAACCACCGGTACCGGTGGCGAGGATCATATAAATCGGGGGAGTGATAATGTTCTTCTACCTGAATCTAGCCCATCACAAGTCTTGTCTCTTCAATGAAAGCTACCCCTTCCGTCTAGGTTATCACTGCATTTATTTCTTTGGCCCCTCTCCTTATTTCATTAATATTATTGCAAGCAATCATACACTATTATATTATATATATGTATATATATATATCTATCATACATACACACACACATATATGTTGGTCTGTAAGAATATTTTTAATAAATTCAGTCACTACGGTATATATATGTAATAAAATTAAAGAAAAATAAATATTAACTTATCAGAATTAATTAACTTAAATTTGTGCAATTTACAACCCTTCTACGTGCGAAAGAGAGAGGTTTTATGTTCACAACTTAAAAAAAAAAAAAAATTGTATTTATAATAATGGAAACTCACATTCGGTCTCTTTCCAGGACAAAATACTACTATACTTTTCTCAATTCAATAAGTACACTTTAAGAGTTAATTTATCATGTGTCTATTATCCTTTGAGGTAATTAAGCTCGTGTGCGGATTCAGAAAATTATGTAAGTGGGAGCATACTTAAAATGATTTTAGAATTGTCAATGACAAAATATCAAACACTTATAATATGATTCTAATACATTATAAATTATAATATAATATATACAATGTTTACAATGACATATGACAGGATAGTTTGGGGCAGAGCCAAAACTATACTTAGTAGGGTGAAATTGACAAAATATAAAACATAATCAATTACATTAAAATAGTTTGAATAGAAAAGTAAAAATTATGTAATAGAGTCAGTAGCATTCAAAAAGAAAAGGAAAGTAGACATTTTATATATATATACCAGGACTATGTGGTCTAATGGTACCCGGGTTGGACTTCCATTTGGAAGATTATGAGTTCGAGCCTTAGTGGAGGCGTTATTGGTTCTTTGTGTTTCAGTAGGTTGAGAAAGTATATGAACAGATACTACAATGTAATAGAGCCAGTAACTTTCAAAAAAAAAAATATATATATATATATACACACACACACTTTAATTTTATATTTTTTTAATTAGTTCAACTTTTAAATTTTTCTAAACTAATTTGAATACAATGAAGTATAATATAAACTTGTGGACTACATTAACTAAATGATTCACACACAAAAAAAAAATAATAATAATAATAAAAACATACCCTTAGAAAAATATGTAATTTATTGAAGGGTGAGAATAGGTAAAATAAAGAAAAGAAGCTAAAATATACACACATAAATAGAATTAAAAAATAAATAAAAGAAGCCTAAAATATAAAGAAGTGCTGAAGGTGAAATTCAAAATATTTCATGTTACTATCCAAGCTTCAACCAGGTAAGCTAGTGCATTCTTTAATAAGTATTACTACATATACATATATATTAAAGGACTACCGAGGGATGAAGGGGGCAGCTGCCCCCATGGTAGATCCGTCACTGGTAAACTAATTCAACTTAGGTTGCATATAACTGATGATCGGTTCAAATTAAGAAGACCAGACCAATAGACTGCTCTCGTTGGGAGCCAAACCCAAATTTGCTAAGTCAATAATATGATCAACTTGGATGGAATTTTTCTGTATAATATATTCCAACTAGAAGAATCCGAATTCACTTGACCTAACTCAAATCAAAAGTGAACCTCACCCAAACTATACCTCAAAATAATAATTTAAAATGTCAATTTAAGATATCAACCCCAACTAATAAATTGATTTGAATATATGTTGACTTAGAGGAACCTCAATAGTGGTAGATTTTTGTGCGGTTTTTTGCATGTCATGTAGAACAGAGAGAAGCAAGTGAGAAAATTAAAAAAAAAAAAATGGGGAGAGGAGGGGGGACAATAAATTCTGACAAGAAAAATAAAAAAAAATTAATCCAACGTGCATCAATTTGCACAAGTTTTCCCCTTTCTCTTCAAAAGTGAACTTCACCCACAAATCATGTTTACATGAAAAAAATCTAGCCCTCCCAAATGCTCGGTCGGGTCGGGATGTGGGGGGCCCTTAGGGTTGGGGTTCAACCTTTGGAAAAATGAAAAAAATCTAGCCAAAAATCTCAAATTTTGATTAGATAAAAACCAAATTCTAATTTTTTCTTCTTAAAATACTTAACAAAAACTACTATTGTGATTGCTCTAATGTTCTTAGTAACTACGATTATAAATTTGACACCCATTAAAAAACACATGTAAACACATACTAGCCCACGAGGTACACACTACTACATCTGACCTCCACTATTCATGTACAAATTACTCAGATTTAATAAATGAATAAACAAGAAAGAATGAGTACACTGATTAAATTAAATATGTATTTATTTTATTTAATGAAGAAAATAGTGGTGTGAAGTGTGAATTTTTTTTTTCTTCTTCAATATAATATATTCCATGAGGATGGATAAGACTGACAACCAACTTGTGTACTGGTGAATCTTTTCTGGTCAGTGGTATACGAGTCCAAAACTCGTAGGTTCATTGCAGATAAAAACACTTTGGTTTTGTTGCCCACTTTCACATCAGGCTCGTCCTTGTAATTAATTGCTGGAATATAATATGCATTATTATTCAGTACTGTATTATTCTTAATGCATGAGATGAGATATATTAGTCAATCTTAATGGGTCCAAATCCATATGTAATAACAACTACTACTTCTACATCACTCATCAAATCATATATATATATATATATATATATATATATATATATATATATATATATATATATATATATACTACACAAAAATTCCACCATACACCGCATACTTACTATTTATATAAATAGAAATAAGAAGTGATATTTTTGTTTTTGAGTGGCGAAAAAAACACGTAGTCACTATTTGATGGTGTAAATTAGGTAAATTTAAAAAATCAGTTTGATTAATGTGTGTGTCCGTGCACTCTCATCCCTTAAGAGAGGTCGGACGTTCGAACCCCTTCTCGATGGAAAAAATCAATCTGGCCTGGTCATCTCTTTGCCTCTTAATTGGGACGGACTGATGCAAATGCTGATTAATCTGAATATGATACGGGTTCAAAGGTGCCTCCTACAGTTATGGTCTTCTCAAGACACCTTATGGTCCGATCCAAAAAAAAAAAAAAAAAAAACTAAAAAAAAACTAGGTAAACCTCAAAAAACCAAGATTATGTGGTCTAATGGTATCAGGGTTGGACTTCTATTTAGAAGGTTGTGAGTTCAAGTCTCAGTGGAGGTGTTATTGGCTCTTTGTGTTTTGCATCAAAAAAAAAAAAAGGTAAACCTCAAAAAATGTTTTTTTTTTTTTTTTAATGAATATGGTATAAAAAGGTCTGAGTTGAGTGAGTTCTATATGGTATGTTAAAATATAAGAATAAAGGATTGAACTAATGATAATATGGTGCAATATTGTAGTTATAAAAAAAAAAGATTTTTTTTTTTTTAAATGTGTATATATAAGAATCAGAATCCTGCCTATGTTTAGTACAGTGGTCAAGAGAAGGTGATTTGTGTCCTCATAATGAAAAGCAAATCGAAAATGATTGGGATTTATTATAGGTTTGATTATATTAATCATTGAATTTGGTTTGGCCTACCAAGTACCAAATAATTTTCAACTTTGGAAAATATTGCAGTTGTGTCTCCGCTCTTGAATGATACAGATTAGTTTGCTATTCTAAATTGCTGTTTGATAAAACTTATTTTGAAATTTACAATTTATTCTAAATTATAAATAAATTATCAGTTCTTTTTTATCCATACATGAATGGGAATTTAAAATTATATATATATATATATATATATATATATATATATATATATATATAAACGGTCTGATAATTATAAATTTTAATAGGATTTGAATATAATATGAAATATATTCTAGAAGTTGGCATTAGTGACTTCTCCTAGGTGCTCAGATGACATTAGTGACTTCTCCTATGTGGGAGGTCATGAGATTGAGCCTCAACAGAGATGTTGTTAGCTCTTTTCATTATACATAAACACACATGCAGAGACGTTGGCTCTGTGTGCTTCATTAGGTTGAGAAAGTATGTTTAAATAGATAATACAATATAATAGATTGGAAAATATTTTGCATTCACATACAATCTCAAGCATGAATATAAGCAGCACACTTAGTCATAGATCTCAATAGGTATACATAAATACTTCTAGATATAAACCACATATTATCTACTATGCACTTCACACAATCATGCTGAAAGATAAAGAAAAAATATATAGTTATACTCTTACTCTTTATTTAAAAAGTAATCCTTTTTTTGTGGAGGATCTCTATTGAGTCACTTGACTCGTTTTTTCTCTTTCTTCATTTATGAATTATTGGGGGAGGTAGGGATTTCACGAATCATACTTTTTTTGTGGAGGATCTCTATTGAGTCACTTGACTCGCTTTCTCTTCTTTCTTTCTTCATTTCTGAACTATTGGGGGAGGTAGGAACTTCACGAATCGTGAATGGACCTATCCGGGCTCGGCAATCTAGCCGGCATAATACTCATCTCGCCCACAAAATCGGTACACGTGGTTCTTATATCTCGGTGGAATCAGGTATCGTATTTTCACTGTGCACACCCCCTAACCGGGATTCCAAGCCCAGCGGGTAGTATCCAACCTAGTAACTCGGAAATATCGACCAAGTTACTTCTAAAATAACTGTCGGTCCTCTATAACACAGTACAGGTTACACCAACTTCACCTAGCTATTTGTTTCTTTTCCTTCATCGTTGCATTGTCAAGGGCTTATGTGGTTTTTGGTTGTCTTTCAAATTGTTGTCAAAAACATTATTCAGGGGAACTTGAACTGGATGCAATCTAGAGAGACCTATTTGAAGTCTCCTGTTTGGCGTGGACGCGAAAATGACATTCGTCCTTTTGGGAACTCAAAAGCATCTGACTCTGCTAATCTTGACAGTGTAGCAGAAGTACAACCCCTATTATCTCAACTTTGAGCATTTATTTGCTTGTTGCTGGAAATTTTCACATTGTTGTATAGAATGCTGATTAAAAGGGGAACATGATAAAAATCATATATGAATCTTCTTACCATGCTGACCTGCTCATTCCTGCATCGTTAATTGTATAAGCGTACTTAGTGAAAAAAATATAATGCTACTGTTTTTGCTTAGCTAATACTTAACTGGTTGGGATGTTGGGTTTGGTATTAATTATCTTCTTATCATCTCATGAACTTGTTTCTGCTTCCCATTTTGACTTGTAAATATTAGCTATCACCCTGACAATTACTTGCAATTTCTTAGCCTTCTCTTTGTTGCAGTGATGGAAAAACAGTCGGAGCTTGTCTTGATCTTAATTATTTGTAACTGTTTTCTTAATCTTTGTCAAATCCATGTAGCCAGATTTTTAGTGAATTTTTTGTTTTTAGCCAAAGATGTATTTCATGACCTGTATTCTGGTGAGAATATAGGGTGTGTTTGGTTGGTGGGTTTTGCCCATAGGAATGGATATGAAAGTGATTGTTATTGTTTGGTTGATAGGTTTTTAGACCCCATGAATTGAAAAATCCATACCCAAATAAAATAAAAGTTTCCTTCCCTTATTCATTCTCAAGCACTACTATTAGTAACCATTCCCATTCCACCATACTACCAAACATGTTAAATACTTTCACCAAAACCCATTACCATTACCAATTATTTGATACCCATTCCGATTCCGATTCCTACGTGCGAACCAAACACACCCATACTGATCCTAAAATCTCTGTAATTGACTAGTCGTGTTGTGGTGGGCAACTATATGGAGGAATTTAAATAATAATAATAATAATAAATATCCCTATCACTCTTCAGTTTTGATTGGCTAAAGTTTCTCTACTGCATGAATTTAAAGATTTGAAGCTCCTATGTGTATTCCTATCTGTTGCTTTGGTACCTTGCATGTATGATTGAGGCAGGCAATTAGTTATTTTCACTTTCTGAAAGTGTTCTTTTAAGCCTTTTACCTTTTATACCTTGATAACTTGTTCTTTCATGACACTTTTTGAGTTTCTGATTCAAACAGGTTTTTGAAAACACAGAGGTCAAAAAGCGAGTTGCTTTATCAAATCCTTATGGAAAGTGGGTCAAGGAAAATTTACGAGCTTTGAAGCCAGCGAACTTCCTTTCAACTATGGTGTTATGGAAACTGAAACAATTTTGAGACGCCAGCAGTAAAAATCTTCATCCTATCTCATCCTTGAAATCTCAAATTGGATTATCATGATTTTCTAAACATTAACATTGGCTTAATTAACAATTGAGAACTGGAAGAGTTTCTTGCATAGTTGCATGTCATTCACAATCGTGTGTACAATATTTATAGTTATGAGTATACAATAATTTTTAGTTATGCTAGGCTACAACCATAACTGAATGATATACATGAAGTACTAATCTAGATAAACTAGAAGTCCCGTGACTTCCCAATATGCTATCCAGCTAATTCAGTTTCGTAGATTGATGTTCAACTTTTATTTAAGGGAAAATGACACTTTTTACTCCTGAGTTATATACTTATAGAACTTTTTCCCCCTTAATTATTTAGGTAAGCACATTAGCTCCCTCAATTATTATAAAAGTGGTGTTTTTTCCCCCTAATATATTAAATTGACATTTATACCCTTAAAGTAAACATTTTATTTATTTTACTACTCAAACAAATTATTGCGTATACATAGGGATGACCACGGTTCGGTTTGAATTGAACCGGATACTAAAGCAATCGAATTAATAGTTTACGGTTATAATTCAGATCTAGAACCCAATATTTAAATGTCAATTTATTAAAATTATGTATCAAAAAAATTGAATCTTGAACCGTGAACCGGCGGTTCCGGATCTGATTCGCGATTTTGAACTGTCTTTATTATAAAATTTTATTTTTTTATTTTAAAACAGTCTAAATTCAACAATAAATGTATTTTATTTTTTCAGTTCGGAACATGAACCGTCCATTCCGGTTCACGATTTTAATAAACTCTAAATATCAAATTTCGATTCTAAATTGTAATTGGAATATTTCGGTTTGGTTGCTATAGTGTTTGTTTAGTTTGAACCAAATTATGATCATAATTTGTTGGAGAAAATAATAAATTAAATATTTAGTTTAAGGGTAAATATGTCCATTTAACATTTCAGGGGGAAAAACAGCCACTTCAATAATTTAGAGGGAAAAAATGCTATAGGTATATAACTCAGGGGGAAAAAGTGCCATTTTCCCTTTATTTAATTTTCAAAATACAGTAGCCCTTGTGAAAAATAACTTTCTTCAGGGCTTTGATATGTGACTCCTGGTAAAAATTTCTGCAGAAAGCAAAGTGGAGCATTTTAAGTAATTGCAAGAAAAGATGATAGACCGTTGAGATGTGAAAAAGTAAATGTATTCTAAAAATTAGTAGAAGACAGATGTAGAGACACGTGGAGAGGCCTTTTTTTTTTTTTTTTTTTGCAAACTAGAGATGGAATTTTTAGGCGTTCTATCCATTATATACCGTTTTCTCTCAAATTTATTATTGATCCAAACGACGCCGTTTTCTCTAGGGTTCCGTAGGGCTTGGGCTTCGTTCTCTCTTCTCTCTCTAGGCTCGGGCTCCGTCCTCTCCTCTCTGGTCATGGAAGATGTAATCGGAGATCAAGGAGTGATTAGCGGTGAAGATGTAATCGGAGATCAAGGAGTGATTGGCGGTGAAGATGTAATCGGAGATCAAGGAGTGATTGGTATTGGCCGTGTCGAAGATCAAGGAGGTATTGGCCGTGTCGAAAATCAAGGAGGGATTGACGGTCAAGATTTAATCGAATTGCAACGTATAAATCTGCAAGATGCGATAACATCTGAGGTTAATGAGATTTCACGACTTGAATGCGATTTGATGGAAGCTTACCAATATTTAGAAGTCCGACGAGTTGCTCTTACCAATTTCAATTTGGCAGAGCAACGGATGAATGAGGCAAATATGGTCCTTCTTAAAGCATTGGAGGGTGCTCCTGAGCAGTTACCACCTAATGAAGCAATAATATCGTCTAGTAGTGGGTCTTCTAGCACGGATAGTAATGCCTCCCCAGTTTGTATTCAATCAAGTGAATCCCTATCTATTATTGAATCATCAAATGCTGCTGGTATTGTTATTGAATCAACTGTTGATAATAATGAGTAAATCACCCTTTGAAATTTTGAAATTATTACTGGTGCTCTAAGTGGCGTAGTTGGGCGTGTGGCTAAAAGAAGAGGTGGTGCTCTAAGTGGCGTAGTTGGGCGTGTTGCTAAAAGAAGAGGTGAATCGTTTGATAAGAGTAATCAGATAGCCCCTTCAGCTTGTCTCCAGGTTGGGCGTGTGGACTGAGCAAGCGGGCTTAAGCTTGGACGCCACCAATACCCATAACCGGGTGAACCCAAAGTGGACCGAACAGGCTCTGATACCATGTTATAATTTAAGATTGGGCCATGGTCACTCAACTGGGCTATAATGCACATGGGCCAAACCACACTAAAAGATTGAATCCAACAAATTAGCTAGTCTAACCCATGGCTTTATAAACCCATATGTTCTCTCTTATTTGATAGATGTGGGACTCTTAACACTCCCCCTCAAGTGGACAACCGGGCCATTTTGAATCTAACCGGTTGACCACTTGAAATTGGACCAGACCCTCCCCCTTAAACGAAAGCTCTGGACGCCACCAAAGTGGACCGAACAAGCGGGCTTAAGCTTGGACGCCACCAATACCCATAACCGGGTGAACCCAAAGTGGACCGAACAGGCTCTGATACCATGTTATAATTTAAGATTGGTCCATGGTCACTCAACTAGGCTATAATGCACATGGGCCAAACCACACTAAAAGATTGAATCCAACCAATTAGCTAGTCTAACCCCATGGCCTTATAAACCCATATGTTCTCTCTTATTTTATAGATGTGAGGCTCTTAACACTCCCCCTCAAGTGGATAACCGGGCCATTTTGAATTTAACCGGTTGACCACTTGAAATTGGACCAGACCCTCCCTTGAAACGAAAGCTCTGGACGCCACCAAAGTGGACCGAACAGGCTCTGATACCATGTTATAAGACCTTATAAACCCATATGTTCTCTCTTATTTTATAGATGTGGGACTCTTAACACTCCCTCAAGTGGAATCTAACCGCTCCCCCTGAAACGAAAGCTCTGGACGCCACCAATACCCATAATCGGGTGAACCCGAAGTGGACCGAACAAGCTCTGATACCATGTTATAATTTAAGATTGGGCCATGGTCACTCAACTGGGCTATAATGCACATGGGCCAAACCACACTAAAAGATTGAATCTAACCAATTAGCTAATCTAACCCATGGCTTTATAAACCCATATGTTCTCTCTTATTTTATAGATGTGGGGCTCTTAACACAGTGTTTATACTAGATGTCTAAGCCGGAGGTTTTCAAGAGCACGACTCAAGACATGTATGGTATATTTGGTGAAGTCAAGTTGGGTTTGAACTCAAAGCCTGAGTTAGAGGAGGTAGATGAAAGTGGTATAGACCCGGAGGAAATTCATGAGGTGGATGAAAGTGGTATAGACCCCAAGGAAATTCAGGCGCTTATGACCGAAGCTGACCTTTCAAGGGCAGATGCGGTCGATGTTCTCAAGGGCTCGCTCAAGTTAAAAAAATCCCAGTAAGTAACCCTGTTGCTCTCTCTCCGCTGAGTGCACCTTGTAGTACACTATGAGTGCATCTTATAACTCTGCATTTTGAATGTTGGTTGTTGAGTGCATCTTATAACTCTGTATTTTGAATGCTAGCTGGCTGGTGCACACTATAAATTTGCCATCATTGTTTGAGTATTGGGCTTAGATTTCTTAGCATTTCTTCTTCATTACTCTCTTCTCTGAGTAGTTATGTTGTGCATCCGTATGCACCATGCATGGTGCATACGGATGCAAAAACGACGTCATTTTATTAAAAACGCGCGTCTCCCCTTTAAAAAAAAAATTCAGGTTCGATTCCCAGCAACAACATTATGTTGTTCATTCATTATGGAATTTTAGTTCATAGATTATGGAATT